GAGGCACGGCGTGGCGCAGCCAGGTTTTGGGGAGCCACCACCGATCAGGACTTATCCCCCCTCCAAACCTGCCGGTGTTTGCTTGCTGGTCCCCGTGCCCCTGCAGGGTGCACGGTCGCCTTCCAACCGCTGAGCTCCCGCCTGCGCCCGCCAACCCCTGGGGAGCCGCAGTTTGGCCAGGGGTGTGGATGAGGAACCCGCTGTCTCCATTTCCCCTCCCTACCCCGGCCTCTCCAGCAGCTCCTTCAGGTGGGCAGCAGCCAACTGGCACGCCAAGAAGAGCCGGCAAAGGGCCCATCGTCGTGCCACCTCGTCCCCATCCCGTGAGAGGCTGCGGGGTGGAGCTGGAGGGAGGGGGGATGGATGGGATGGGAGAGGAGACGCACGGCAAAGCCCACCCGTCCCCATCCTCGCCACGTGGGTCTTTACAGCGCAAAAATATTCCCACTCTGCCCCTTCTCTCCTGAAATAATCAGCTTTTTCCAGCCTCCCAACTTGCCCTGGGCTGGAGGGAAGCGAGGGTGGGCCCGTGGGGTTGGGCTGCATCAGCAGCGGTGCCGCGGGGAGATGATGGAGATGGGGTAATCCCCGGTGCTGGGCCGTTTCGGCTCTGACTGGCAGGATTTCCACCCATTTCACGAAGAAAAAAATAAAACAAGAAAAAAAAAAAAAAAAATCCCCTCAGATGAAAAGGATCTAATTTTAGCTCAGAACAGGGAGGATCGAGGAAGCGATGTTTTAAAGAAAGGAAAGTAATCTGACCTACGCCAACATGCGGCAGGATGATTTATTGTGTATTAAAAGGACGGGGAGGAAATAACTCATTGATGAGAGCGACTTCACCAGTGCCTGTTCGCACACGTCTTCCTGACGGGGCTTGGTGGTCGGGGCCCTGGGAGAGGGGTGGCTCAGTTTTGGGGGGGTTCCTGAGCAGTTCCCCACAGCCTGGCTTCTCCTCTGGGCCGAAATAGGGAGGGAAATAGCCTGGGGTGGGATGGATGTGCCACGCTGTGGTTCTGCCTAGGTGTGGGGAGCGGGGTGGTGGTACTCGAAAGCAGATTGTGGCTTTCCCCTCACCGAAGGGTCAGCGGGGGAGAGGGAAAAGAGAGAAGTGGGGAATTTGGTGTTTCTCAGCGGTATCTTATTATCGCCACCACCTTCGTATTGCAGGACATGACCTATCTCTGCATCTCGGCCTCGGATTCATCCAGTCAAAACCTGTAAGTCCTTTGCCATCCTTTTGCCTCCCAGCATCGCGTGTTGGCCGTTGTCGGTCGGTAAAAGCTCAGGTTCTGCAGGGAGAAGGTTCAGTTCGCTCGTGCTGTGAAAACTTTGTGTCGTTGCTGAGCTCGAAAAAAGCTGTGGTTCGTTCTCAGGCGGTAAATAGCATTTGTAGGGCTTTAAAATCTGTCCCTGTGTGTGTTTGCAGCCAGTACATTTAATTTTCCACCAAATTTCAGAATTATTCTACTGGGCAGCGTTGAAAATTGGGGCATTTTTGGTGGGTTTAGACAGACAGGGGTTTGCATCCAGGCATTCTCCTTGGAAAGAGAAATAAAATATTTATTAAAACCAACGTTTTTGCAAAGCTTAGATACTTGTAAGTCTTTTGACAACATTCTTGAGAGGAAGGTGGTGAGAGACGCTGCAAGGAAGCCCCAGGCTTTCATGGGGCGCGGTGCTGGGGCGCGGTGGGTGCGGGTGCTGCTGGTACGGGGAGGGGTGGCAGCACCCCTGCTGCTGCTTTGGGTGGCAGGCACCCCGAAAATGGGCGACTCCGAGGGATTTTTCTCCCCAATCAAACCCTAAAAAAAAGGATCGAAACTTCACGCGCAGCGACCGAACCGAAGCCTGTTTGCGGAGGTGCCGGTTTTCCAGCATCCTTGGGAGCAGCCGTGCCCGGGGGTGTGATTCTGCTTGCTCATGCTCCCGCTGAGCGGAAAGAGAAGCTTTACAAGAAAACCCTGCCTCAGCAAGAACTGGGTTTTCTGGTTGTTATTTTTTTTTTCTCTTCTCTCATTTCTTTGCATTTGTGGCATGTCTACTGAAAGGAGAGAAAAAAAAAAAATAATAAGACTGGCTGCCGGAAGACTTATTCAAGGAACTGTTTTCTGCTTGTCAGTTTATGCCTTGGATTTCACAATCCTGGTGAACTTTGTCTCCTGCAGAGGAGATAATTTTGACTCAGGACCTCAGTGGCTCTCAGCGTTACCAGGCTCTGTGCCCCGATCCCACGCTTCAAGGCTGGAAAAAACAAGGGGAGAGCTTTCCTCTGGCTTGCTGCCTGGGGAAAACCCGCCCCGTGGAGTGGGTGAGGATGGACGGGGTGACCAAAGCGTTCACCTCCCTCCCTTTGGGATGGGTTGGGAGAGCGATGCTGTGTGCACGGAGCGGGCTGGAGGAGGGCAGCGAGGGTGCCGAGGGAGCTGCAGGCGACAGCATCGTGTCCTTGCAAGCAAGGTGCATCCCTGCTGGTCCCAGCCAAGCGGCTGAAGCGGAGGACCGGGAGCTGGAGAGCTTGGCCCTGTGTAGGCAACATGTGCAGGCCCTGGGGGATGCTGTCTGCTCTGTGAAGATGAGGAGGATGAGGAGAAAGCCCTCGGGAGAAGCTTTGGGCAGGGAAACGTCCCTCTGAATGGTGATACTCTGTTATGGGGGGTTGAGAAGGAGGCGAAATTGTAGCCCACGAGGAGCCATGGACTGACATCTCCTTCCAGGGCTGAACAGCTCAATATTTTTCTTGATGCAGCTTCAGAGATTCCTCCATCTCTCCTCCTCTTCTTGGGCAGCGGAACCCCCTGCTAGTTTGGGGTACATCCTTGGTTGGTTTCTTAGAAGGCACCTGACCCTTCCAGGGAAGGGTGAAGAGCAGCATCCCCTTCGATCCCCTTTCCAGGGAAGGGTGAAGAGCCTCCCCTTTGACGGGTTAACAGGGACGGGGGAGGTTTTGGAGGCTTCTGCCTCGTCCCCGCGAGGAAGCCAGCTCTGAGCCCCACTGGGAGCGAGTCCTCGGTGAGGGGCACGGGGGGAATAACTCTGTGGTAGCTCGTGCCTTGGCTTCTGAGAAATCAGGAAGGCCGTGCAGGCGCACGCCCACCCCATCACGCGGAGGCAGAGGAAGTCCGGCGCCGGGGCAGAGGCGCTGCTGGCTCCCACACTCACTGCCGGGCGGCTCTGCCTCGGCTGTGCCAAGGGGACCCTCTTCTCCTCCCCGAAAAGCTGGGGCTGTTGTGCCGGGCAGTCAGGTCAGGGAGTCCATCAGCAACCCAAATTACCCAGAATCAGGTTTTCTGCCACAAAACTACCCCAAGGCTCAGCATGGCTGCGAGAGAGAGCAGGGATGGGCAGCGTTTATCGCAAATGTGGGCCAGAGAGCTGAATACCTGGCTCAGCGTGAGCTCTTGGAGATGCCTCCTGTCTTGGGGAGGGATTGGCAGCAGCTTCCACATCCCGTGCAGTGATGAGCAGGAGGGATGTGTCTCACTGGAGCCCGTGACCCTCTCACAAACACCCACCTCTGTCTCATCAGTACCTACAGAGTTATCTACCCTGTTTTCTAGGTCCCTAAGAAGCAGAGAAGCACCCTAGTGCATTGCAGCTGAGCTGCCAGAAAGCCCTGGCTCCCTGACCTGCCCCGTTTTGCTGTGGAACTCACTGGTTAGGGTTAACGCGCTCCCTCTGCCTTACTGGTAGTTACTGGTTATGCTTTCAGGAATGCAGGCAGCTATCTGGGGACAAGCCGGTGCTGTTGCTGGCAGCTAGATCTCCCTGGTATGGGCACCTCTCCGTGCCCTCCCTTGGGTGGGAAAAGGATGGAGAGGCTGCTTGGGATGAGGAGGGGGAGTTGCACCATTGTGGGACCTGCAGGCAAAACGCCTCAGGAGACAGCTTCTCCCTGCCTTTTTCCCCACCAGCATCTTTTCCTTGGAGGGAACTGGGTGTTTTTGGGCATCATTTGGGAATTAGGGGTGAGGCGATGGCTCAGGACAACCTCGGATGTGGGGATGTCCTTGTCTCTTGGGCACTAGATGGCACCTTGCCCTGGAGGCTGTCTCCCTGAGGTCCTCCTCGAGCTGCTTTGGCTGACGGCATCAACCCGTTCCTGATTCCTTGGGAAGCAGGAAATCCCCCGGAAAATCTCCCAGGTCATTTCCTTCCTGGCAGATGAAGATCAGCCCCTCCGCTTTCGCTGGGCAGAGGCAGGATCTCTGCTCCCACCCCGCGCTGGTGTCCCCAGGGTGGTGGGAAGTCCCAGGGAGGGGGACACGCAACCACTGCTGCTGGTGTGGCCAGGTGACTCGCAAGGGTGAGCAGCTCTCCCATCCTCACCTCCCTGCCGCTCTCCTTGCAGGCTGCAGCATTTTAAGGAGTGCATCAAGTTCATCCACGAGTGCCGGCTCGGTGGGGGAGGCTGCCTGGTCCATTGGTGAGCGCGCGCATCGGCCCTGGGGGAGGTGGGGATGGGCTCCCAGAAAGTGTCCTCGACGTCAAACGTCACTTGTGGTGGGGAGGAAGAAGAGGAGAAGGCAAGGAACAGTGGGAGAGCAACAGGGGAAGGTCCTCACGGCCGAGAGCCCTGGGGATGGGTGGTCCACGCACTGAAAACCTGAGCATCCAAAGAGGGGGGGACGAGGGGAAGCCACTTGGCCAAGCCCACCAGCGGCGCCCTCCTGCCCCTTACCCGCACCCAACCCATGGCTGAGGAACCCCATGAGCCCCCCAGTGAGAGCGGGTGGCCACGGGAAGATGCATCCCACGGGTGTTCCTCGCCGTGGGGTGGGAATACCTCTCCCTGACGCCGCTCTCTCGCGTCCCACCAGCCTGGCTGGGGTCTCCCGCAGCACCACCGTCCTGGTGGCTTACCTCATGACAGTGACCGAGCTCGGCTGGGAGGGCTGCCTGGCTGCCACCAGGGCCGTGCGGTCCTACGTCAGCCCCAACTTCGGCTTCCAGGCGCAGCTGCAGGGGG